CCCCCCCCCCCCCCCCCCCCCCCCAACAAAAAGAAGAAGAAGAAGCCTTTGTGCCCTTGGTTCTATATTTTCTCGTCTACAAAGTTGAGTCCTAAAGAGTCTGTTTCCTGCTCGAAACCGGTTTCAATCTCTTAGTTCCCTTAAGTAACTACATCAAATAATCTGGTGCTTCTTTCTGTTTGGTAAATAACCAAAGAGTTGATTCTCTAGATGCAATGTAAATGATACTTTTAGTAAGTTAAATCTATTAGGTTTATAGTAACTTGATAGAGAGAGTTGGTGTTGCCTTTTGCAACTGGTGAGAACATGTGCTCTTCATTTTTAAACAATTCAACTTATTATAGCGTATTTCTTTATGGGGTTTAAATTTCGAAGCTGTTGGCCTGAAGCATTATCTAATTTGCACTAGTTAACTTGATTTTCTGGCTTCCTTTTTTGATTTTTGCTTTATTTTGCACATTGATTGTTCTTCTCAAACATAGCAAGTATCAAATCTTTATAGCATAAAGTAAAATTGAAAAAGGAAAATATGACAAACTTTTGGCTTCGAAGGAAAAATGAGAACAGGATTCAAATATGGCAGGAAAAAAATTAGTGAAGAGAGTGATCATGTGATAATTTTGTACCGCTGATGACCTCTGGTCAAATGTTAGGCAATTCCAATGGGCTTTAAATTCCATCAACATTTTTTTTATTTTTCCCTTATTTGAAGAAAACCCACCAACATATGCACGATTCCTAAAAAAATTAACAATCGTATTAACCATGTTTAACTTTTCACTTGGAATCTTTTGAATTCTATAATTACATCGTATTTCTTGGATTATATATCAAAAAGTTTAGTTATTCATTCAATGCATTCCTAGCTTGTTTTGTCCTACATTTTTGGAAAATGCTATATTGTCTTACCTGGTATCATGTCGTATCCACGTCCATGGCTCTCATTTTGTTTTCTGGAGTTCTTAAATAACCTTTTCGTCTATTATGATATATAGCATGCTGTATTATTGATCTCTTTGTTCAGTAACTGACTTCTTGTGGGAATCTTTTTGATACTGCACCCTTTGATACTAATAATGATTTGATCTTAGTGAATTTGATGTGCACTAAAAGTAGTTAATTGTTCATTTGATTTGTTGCAAATAGACACCGGAGTTACCTGACCAAAACAGCATGTTATATCCCAGGAAACATTTTCTATAACAGTTTATTGACAGATAAAAACTCAGATTGTTATCCCATACATATCTTCATTTTAGCTATGGTTTGTCAGTCTTAATATATCCATTGGGGCCCAGAGCATTATCTGGGGTTGGCATGCCACCCCTTTTGGAGCTTTAGTGAGATAAGGGAAGGAGAAGCCCGGACACACACAAAAACAGACAAAAAATAAACAGGGATCAAGCATACTGGGCTGCATTTCCGTTCCTGATGTGTGTTTCATACTTGTTGCTGGTTAATGTTGAGTGGATTAATTCACATTGATATGAAAATAAACTGATGGTTTAATTGCGTGATTGCAGGAAAACAATCGGATCGAAATTGAGAGGCTAGACAGGGAAAGGCAGACTGACTTTGTAGACATGCTGAAAGGATTTGTTACTAGTCAGGTTGTTTTCCTTTCCCAGCATAAATAATCAATACCATTATAGAAGCTTTTGCAAAAAAAAAAAAAAACAATATATACATAAAATAAATAAAACGAAACTATTAAATTTTACTGCAATTAAGGCAGCAACTTAGCTAGTGAATGTTACAGTATGTTAACCATGGAGATGTTCAGATATTCATAAAATCTGTTAGATATCTTGAGCTTTTAGTTTGATGATTTTAAGGCCAGTAAACCCGTTGATGAGTGCACATTTTTTTTCTTAAGCTAGAAGATTCCAAGGATAGATTAGATTTTGACCTCTTTCCTTTTAAGGCACTCATTAAACATCCCACATCGAAACTGTGGAGAAACTTTATACACTTCATATAGTGTCGCGCGAGAATGTTGGTCGTTGGGTGCAGCAACGCGTGCCTGTAACCCAAGTGGGGGCATCAAGGTGACTGAAGGTTGATTGTGGCAGCACCACCACCATTGGGGACCTTTCTCCTCCTCCGTGGAGCTTCGGGCAGTGGGTTCACTCTTCAAATAACTCCTTTAAGAGGGCCATTGGATGGTTCTCTGCAGCGATTAAGAATGCCCAACAGCTGTGTGTTAGGTTTCCACGGTTTGTGAGCTAGCTAGGCAGAGCAGCAGCTTCTATTGGAGCTATTGAAGACTGAACCTAAAATCTGTGGTGGTGGCGATTGTCGCCTGGTGCCATTCAACCGAACTTCGACCTTTTGGGGAAATTTTCCAAATTGATATCATCATGGGGATATCCATGATGCCCATCTAATTTCCCCAAATTGATATCATCATGGGGATATCCATGATGCCCATCTAATAGACTAATACTACACATTGCCTATATATTTTACTGAACATATATTGTTCAGATTTGAATATCTGATCCATGCTAGTCTAATACTTACCCATTTTATAATTTTTTGCTTTTTTTTGGACAGCCATTGCATGATTACTTGTTATACAGCCATATCTTTGAATGCACTTGAGTACAATATCTTCGAATTTAAGGATCTCTATTTGATGTAGATGTTATTAACCTTGAGTGCACTTGCTTCTTTTTCATCCTGGGGAGAAGACTATATCTCCTTGCTTATTACCAATGAAAAGAAAATATACTACGAACATCTGATCCTTTGAACAACCAAAACGACGTGAGAAGCACCTGACTGTTTTGATAAAGAGAATGTGCTTCTTTATATCTGATTCATTTCTTTTGTTGGGTCGTGACCCTTGCAGGTGGCGTATAATGAGAAAATTGGACATGAATGGGCTAAGGTGGGGGAAGAAACCAGTAGATATGCAAAAGAGAGCACGTAGAAACAGCTATTTTACTGTTTATTGGGATCTTTATATATCTTTTTCTTCCCATTTCGGATTAAAAAAGGGTGCTGGATCCCTATGAAAAAAATGGCAATAGAAAACTGGACTGGAATTTTATTTCTCTTTCATTCCTCTCTTTTTCATTTTTGGTGCGTTTTTAACTTATAATTTCGTCAACAGTCATTCTTCTCCTGTTATTGAAAAGATTCTGGTACCAGTTACTTGAAATTTTACTATAAATGGATCCTTGAACATCAATTTTAGACCTCACAGATTATAAATCAAAGTGAGATAATGTAAAGTGGTCAATCCAACTTGGTTGACTAGGCTTGTGGTGTTCGTGTCAAAGGTTGAGGCTTGTAATTTGTGCTAAAACTTTAAGACCATAAGAGATAGTTATCCAAGACATCAAAGTTACTGAACTACGATAATAACACGAATTATTTATTCGATTAAATCAATTTTTTTTTTCTATATTACTTTTACAAAGAATACTTGGAAATTACATGATTAAGACAGTTGCAATGTAAACGTCACTATTTCAGTGTTACAATGGTTTTAAAAAAAAATCACACTATGGGCAACAATTCCCTTTAGAAACTTCAAATTCCCCGAAAAGGCCCCCCGTAAGAACGGGATTACTTCACAATCCCAACTGAAGGCCCCCCGTAAGAACAGGATTACTTCACAATCCCAACTGCTGTGCCAGATCAATTAATCAAACTTTGGAGACGACGGTGGGTGCGGCGGCGCTCCCATTAAGGACGACAGAGAACAATCCAGAATTAGCCAAAACTGTATCATCGAGAAACAAGTCCTCCGGATCCCTAAACACCGCGTGAACACAGACAATGCCGAAACCAATTAGAGTTGACGACATTAACAATGATCCGACGCTTGTGAAAAAGATTACGGAGAATGTGAATGCGATCAGGATCCATAGGGCATCCCGATGGGAGATTGTGCGGTTGAAGATGACGAGCTGTTGATCTGGGGGGCGAAAGATGTAGAGGAGGAGCCACGCTGCGATTAGGGAGACTAGGGTGAGGAGAGAGAGCGGGTGAGAGAGGAGGGAAAACGCGAGTACGGTGACGAGCATGGTGGCGTAGTTGGCGCAGAAGTAGGAGAGGTTCTTGCGGCCACGAACCGTGGCGTCGGAAAGGGAGGAAGGCCGGGAGATGGTGGAGAGGTCGAAGAGTTCGAACCACGGGCGTCGGCGGGTGACGGCGCTTCTCAGAATGTCGGAAATGGTTGTGATATACGCGCCGATAGCTGCGGAGAGAGGAGGGTTGGACATTGTTGGGATTTCGGGAAATGTTTAGGGGTGTTTCGGGGAAGAAGAATTTGACTTTAGAATTGTTTTGTGGGGCAGCGTTTTGTTCTTTTTTGACTTGCTTATATATGGAAACCGGGAATTTTACAGTAACTTTGAAAAAGCCCCAGCCGTTGATGGTGGCCGAATGACGTTCAAGATTGATTTGGGGTTT